AGTCACCACTCAGAAGAGTGTACAAGAGTCTCACTTGAGAACAAGGGGAATGTTGATTGAAAAAGGTTCAGAAACACTGAAACAGAGAATGTGCTCAATGATCAAACCATGAAGTTGTCATAAATAAGGACCCACAATCATCATCCCCTATATTGATTGTGAAAGAAATCTGATGTATATCAGTACCTTTACAGTGTAAAATTCTGAAACTCTGTGCTACTATAAAATTAAATTCGCTTAGTGGAGGGTGGAGTCCAACTGGGTTCACTTGGCATGGCGGCCACTGATTGGCCTATTGTAGCCTGCCCTGGGTGATTATGATGATGGAGAATTTGGTGGAATGAAGATTGGCAGGGCAAACTGAAGCACTTGGAGAAAACAAGCCCCAGCGCCATTCTGTCCAACAAAAATCCCACTTGACCAGACCCAAGATCGAACCTGGGACGACGTGGTGGGAAGCCAGCAACTAACTGCGTGAGCTATGGCACGGCCCTTGTACTATTATAAATGACTGAGAAATATTCCCCTCTGCTTATATTTTCCTCTAAAATGGGATGTGAGTGTTAGATGATGCTTCTCAATTGCACATTAGAATGATTGTTTACATGTACTCAAAGCACTTCTGACACTAGGATAAGTAAATTCTCTATTTGTACACACAGTAACAAATTCTTTGTATATTTTTGAATAAGTAAATGTCTCACCCATATTCTAATACTTCTCTATCTGGCCACCCAATAATTAATTAATTAATTTGCATAGTGCGGGGGGGGGGAGTCCAGTTGGGTCCACTTGGCACAGTGGCCACTAACAGATATTCCACACTTTTCTATTTTGACACAGAGTAATATAAATTCCTTATATTCTATAGGCGTATAATCCACCCACATTCTATAATTTTCTGTTCGGAAAATCAGTAATAAATTATTTGTATTCAAAACTGATACACCTTGCCCAAATTCTAAATTTCTCTATCTGGACATTCAGAGACAAATTTTTTTGTATTCCAAATAGGTATATTACCCAACCTATACTCCATACCTTTCTATCTGGGCATACAACAACAGTGTGACAGGACAGCTGAAAGCCGAAACAGTGGAAAGGGTAGATGCGGCCACTGTTAGGTAACAGTGGAAGTAAACACATTTCCACAGCATTGAATCAACATGCAACAACAGAAGAAATGTTGGAAGGTGTTTTCTACATGATCCATGCTTAGGCTATAGAGCAAAGACTAGCGGGGAAAGTTAGTGAGTTGAAAGTAAGTCAGCGGTTATTACTGATGAATTGCAAGTGAGCAGCAGCAGTTCATGGATGGCCATGAGGAATCTCCAGTGTTAGCAGCTGTTACTTAGGAATGAGTAATGATGACAGAACAACAAACAGAAAACTCTGTGTGACTGTTATAATCATTTGCAATTACAAGTTATATGTGTCCAATACATCCAATTATCAATCCAACCTCCCCATCTCTAGTCACTAACACGTGACAATATATTCTGTGTATATAGGTAGATATTCAGTTTGCACACAGGACACATCATTGGTACATGGAACATGACCCAAGAATCACAGACATTCAAGAATTAAATCAAAGTTCAATCATCCACAGCAATGGAACACAATACAAACACAAATCACAGACTCAACTTAATTAAAAATTGTCACCTGCTAATTACTGTGATACTACAAATACAACTCATACACTGAAAACATAATTACAGTTCATTGACCTTACTTACTTAACAATTATCTTAACTACGGAGTAAAATGTATATAAGATCCCAGCCACTTTTTAAACTGACATATTTTTTCACTTTGTTTTGATTTGGTAATTTATTAAATTATTTAATTCCCACATTCTTTACAACTTCTTTAAGAACAATTATTTTAACAAACAAGGTTTGTTCCAGATTCTCTATACATAATTTTATACATGTAAACTAGTGGACGTATATCACATCTTTTAGAAGTTGTCTGCATGATATCTCCCTACACCACTCATTATTCATATAACCCATTTCTGAAATTTAAAAATATTTTTAATTTCAATAACATTACCCCACAAAAATTAAACCATACCTCAACAGGTATGCACAATAATTACTCCCATAACTTGTGTTCATTACATCCTTGACTAAATTTACTGAGTTTGGTGCTTAGTGACTTAATGTTATTTCTGGTTTAGAGTATTATTCCTGTTCTTAAACTTGATTTGAGGTTCCACTGGGTCTCAATTTGCCTAGAATGGAAATACACTGCTATTGCATGCACATTAATTTAAAATAAAAAAGAAACTGAACAGTATTTCATCCACCCCTTAAGTTCTTCCAGGTGTGGGACAATGCCAGTGACCTTGAGCATGCAGTTGGGTTTCAAGTAGCAAGTCTCTTTATATGTACTTTAAATACTGGATAAGCATTCTGCTCACAAGGGTCTTAATTGGAGGCATGTACACTAGTATTTGCTGCCAATCACCACCAGTTACATGTCACAATTTGACATCTTCTGCATGAAATGTATATAATTCAAGTGCCTTGTGCATTTTCTGTTATAAGAAATTGATGGAAATGTTCCTACAGACAACATTATGAAATGGAACATCTTGGGTGCCATCTGTAGTGCTGCTGTGTCATGGGAATACATCATGCCTGTTTCTGCAGAACTGCTTTGCAGAAGCCAGCACTGAAGAGGAACAGAACAATGAGTGCATGGAATTTCAAGGTTACATGGATTGTTCTTGTATATGTGATGAGTTTCTCAGTGTTGACAAACTGATAAGACAAATTTGGATGGCCCTAGCTGCAAGCACTTGGCAACACTGGTTACAAATGAAGAAGAAGAGGTAATGGAGGGAATTCATTTGCTTCTGGTGCACCCAGCTCACAAAGAAATTATTATGTCTGTTTTCGACTCTACTGTAAGTTCATGTCGCATCAGTGAGAGAATTATTAAACTTCAAGATTTTGTATCAAAAGCATATAAGAACACTCTAAAACAAAGGTTTATTGAGTTGTATTTTAAGACTCAGTAAACTATGACCAAAGTTTAACAAAAGTGGATTGTAGTTTGGAGTATTGCATTTTAGGTAAATTGTATTAAATTACATCGTACATGTTTAAATAACCAAACAAATAAAAGGAGATCTTCTACCAATTAAATACAAAAATCATAGCTTACATCATAACATTACGATCTAAACTACCCACCCGACAAGTATGTTTTCCCTGAAATATCTGTGTAATTTATAAACTGATATTTCGGTCTCAAGACATCTGAATGTGGTTTTACTGTATAAAGCTGCTTGCACATAACTATAAATGCAAGTCATCCACAACCACATTTATGCATTATTGGAGGCTCTCTTCATTCTCTGCTGTTATTGATATGTTCGTGCCATCTTCAAATAAAATTCTTGACCTAATCCACACACTATATGTTGTTTCTCTGGTAAAATCTGAAACTTCTTAAATAAAAAATTTTCTGCCTGCCTTAGAAGCCATTCGGCCTTGTCACCTTCAAAGTAGATCCCTCCACTTTGAACAAATTGCTCCCAACATTTCTGGAATGCTTCACTTGGGATCCTCGGCAGGTCCGCTACTGAATTTTCCTGTTCTGAGTCAGTCGACTCAAAATGTCGGCCGTTCAAAGTCATTTTTAATTTGAAGAATACAAAAAGCCTGCTGGTGCTAGATCTTGTGAGTAAGGAGGTTTCAGAATGACTGTTGCCTCGTGTTTTGCCAAAAAAAGATGGATTAATGGTGATATGTGCACAGGCGCATTGTTAGCATCAGGCATTCATCGGCTTGACCTCCAAGCATTGGGCCTTATTTTTCTGATAGCCTCACAAAGACCTTTCATTACTTCAAGATAATATTCCTTAATCACTGCCCTGCCTTGTGGAAGAAATTCATGGCGAACAATGCCCTCAGAATCGATAAAAACTGTCAGCATGATTTTAATGTTTGACCGAACTCGTCTTGCTTTTTTCAGTCGAGGTGACCCTTCTGACACCCATTATGATGGAGCATTTGTTTCAACATTGTATCCATACACCCATATCACATTTCCAGTATTAATGTTTTTTAAAGCTTTCATCCTTGTTAGCTTGATTCAAAAGCTTTGGACTCAGATCAACTTGAATTTGTTTTGGCTCATCAGCCAAAAGGGGAGGCTCAAATTTGGCTGCTATGTGACCCATGCCTAAATTCTGCAAAAGAATTTCATGATAGACATTGTTCAAAATGCTTACTTCTTCAGCTACCTCATGAACATTTATTACATGGCAACAATTTAATCAGTTTTGGATACTGACGGTCTGCCTGAACGAGAATTATCATCAGCTGAAGTTCGGCCATCTTTGAAACGTTTCCACCACTCGGACATTTGAGTCCGGCCTAAAGCCTCACTTCCAAGTGCTGTTTTTAAAATTTCAAACATTTCCACAAAGGATTTTCCCAATTTAACATAAAATTTCACATAAATTCGTTGCTTGTGAAAATCGCTCATTTTAAGCACAATAAAAATCACCGTGCACATGCAACACTTCTTGCCACAAGCAGGAGTAGCACAATGACTAAGCAAAATATTGCGCTGCAGTTTTCAGAAAGCTACCTTCCCAATGCTGCCACTATGTTGCAGCATGATTCACATTCTATTAGGAGCCCTTGCTAGCACACTATTTACAGATTTCGGGAATTTACAGGGCAAACTTGTACCTCTGTCTGACATAGAGTAAAACATTATTTTTTGTATTCCAAATAGATACACGACTTAACCTATAGTCTATACTTTTATATTTGGACATTCAATAATAAACTCTTGGGATTCTAAATAGATATGACAATCCATACTCTGTACTTTTCAATTTGGTCATGCAGCACCAATCATTCGTATTCTGATTATGTACTTGACTAACCCATACTCCATAATGGTGAAAATTTTTTACAGAACTGTTAATTGCTCTTCCAGGTTGACCACATGCAGTATGTCCCACTTACACAGATGTTTGAGAAGATAGTTCCAGTAACCAAGTACACACATCTTGGATCCAGGTTTACTATATCTACAGGAGAATAAACGACCCACACCGTGCAGACAATAAGGAACAGCGTGACAGGTACTAACGGCTTCACTGCCTCACTGAATGGCCGCATCTTTCCTGTCCTATCCCGGTATGATCTATAATAACAAAATTAAAACAGTGTTATTGATGCAACTCACTGTTCATGAAAGCGCTGAACTGTTACTGCTACTGTTATGCTTTACTGTTCTCTTAATTACCATCAGAATCTATTTATTTTATATTAGAGATTTATTTAATGATGCTGTAAGCAGTCCAGTCTATATTTTATCATATGGTACAATGCTTAGTGGTGGATGTGTAAGGAAATGATTGTGTATAATTTGGGGTACATTTGCCTAGAGGGACTAAGGAATACCACGAAAACCTGTCAGGGTAACTAGGATTCCAGCTAAGATTCAAACCAGGCACCTTTTAAAAATGTTGTTACTGCTTGGAGAAACTTGACTGACAACATTACAGTCATTAGTGGTCACAGTATTAACATTTTGAAAACCCAAATCAACCTATATATTTTAAAATTTCAGAAAAACCAAACATGCCTCATTTACAATGACTAACTGGTTAACTCTATGTAGGGATATAAATCATGGCTTATTCTGAGAATCATATGGAACCTGATTATACTCTGTGGTGAGCTGCGCAGTCTTGCCTTGTTCTGCTTCCCTTTAATCCATTCCCCTCCCTTGATGTTTCTTTCTCTGTGATGTTTATGACACCACCTTTTATTCATCATGTCCTTAACTGCCCTATCGTCATGTAACCCAATCCTTCATATAGGGTGGCTTGGTATATTCTAGAAGGGACAGGCCCATATTATCTCTCTCAGTTGCTCAGACTGCTTTGATACCATTGTGGGAACATCCCACATACTACAGGTGATTTCTGCCCCATGCAGCAACCATGCAGGCACCACTGCATGACATCCTCTCCAGACCAAAAGTCAAGGGCTCCCACCCCATCACTTGGGCAGCGATGACAAACTCCGAGCACTCCTGGGGTCAACCACCGCCCTGCAGCTCGAGAAACTACCAATCCCCAGTACCGCAGTCTCCATATACTGCGACATGTCTACCGGGAGATCTCGGCTGTATGTTCCGGCGCCCCTACGTCTCTAAGTTTTCAGTTCGTCCATGATCTGTCGCACGCAAGCAGAGCAACAGCAAAGATGGTCGCACAGCGATTTGTGTGGGCAGGTGTGCAGAAGGATTGCCGCACCTGGGCACGTGCTTGCCAGTCCTGCCAGCGCTCCAAAGTCTCCCGTCAACTCCACTGGGCAACTTTACACCGCCAGCAACCCGTTTTCTGCACGTCTTTTATCAACCTTGTGGGACCCCTTCCGACATCAGTGGGCTACACATACTGCCTCACTGCAGTTGACTGTTTTTCACCCGCTGGCCAGAAGTCATCCCCATTCCTGACATCACAGCCGACACCAAGGCATGCACCCTACTGACCGGTTGGATATCACGCTTTGGTTGCCTGTAGACTATCACTACCGACCAGGGATGCTAGTTCGAATCTCAACTCTTCAAATCCCTGGCCAGGCTGTGTGGCATCCAGCTTTCATGTACAACCGCCCACCACCCAGCAGCTAACGGACTCGTGGAATGCTTCCACCGGACACTGAAGGCAGCCATCATGTGCCACGCAGACCAACGGTGGACTGAGGCGCTTCCCCTGGTTCTCCTTGGAATCCGCACTGCATTCAAGGAGGATATGCAAGCATCGGTAGCTGAGCTCGTGTACGGCAAGCCCTTAAGAATCCCCAGTGAGCTACTAACTCCAGCTACCGACCCAGTGGATCCAGCACACCTCATCACAGAGCTCCGCCAGCACACAGCCTGCCTCCGACCAGTCCCAGCAGCACGCCACGCCTCCCCAGCTACTTTCGTGCACAGTGATCTCGAGAAGTGCACCCACGTCTTCCTTCGGCGGGACTCAACACGCCAGGTATTGGAACCCCCGTACAGTGGCCCCTACCAGGCCTGTCATGGAGAGAGAAGACACTGCAACTCCTCGTGCGCGGAAGGCATGTCACTGTATCAACCGACAGGGTCAAACCGGCCTAATCCTACAAGAGACAGACCGAGGGAACAGCATCAACCCACCAGCCGCAGCGACCCCAACCGTACGACCACCTGCTATGCCAACAGAGTTCCATACAAGGACTACACGCTCCAGGCGCCACATCCATTTCCCCGCTCGACTGAACATACGAGCATCAATTTTTGCGAGGGGGGAGTGATGTGGGAACATCCCACATACTACAGGCAATTTCTGCCCCAAGCAGCGACCACTGCACGTCGTCCTCTCCGGACCCAAAGTCAAAGGCTCCCACCCCATCACTTGGACACGTAAGCTCCACAAGGCATTGGAAGAGTGCAAAGCGAGTTTGTCATGCACCCCTCTACTGGCCCACCCAGATCCATCCGCGCCACTTGCACTCATCACAGATGCCTCCACGTCCGCCATGGGTGCCCTGCTACAACAACATGTAAGGAACATCTGACAGCCCCTCGCCTTCTTCTCAAAGAAGCTTAACCCGGTCCAACACCATGAACAATTCCTTTTCACTCTTGTGGCTACTGGGCTACTGCCATTGTAGGCACTGCAGTTTACTTTTACTAACTGAAGGTTGGCTCCTGCCCGCTGGAGGTGTAAGGGATTGGGGGTTGGGAGCCTTTGTTGTGAGCTGTTGTTATAATTGTGGTAAGCTTTGTGCTATGAACCCCATCACAAGGTATCTGATTTATTGCTACTTTCCCTTTTGGCCACTGTGTGATGTCTGATGGTCATAAAAGTAAGTGGTGCATAATTTAGTTTGTTCATGTACATGTAACCAACCTCTTACTCTATCTGTGAGTTAAGTTTGTTAGTGTATATTACTTATGTTAATTAAATTACAGCAGAATGCATGTTACATGTATTTCTTTCATTGTACGTTGTTAGCTCTGCCAAGGGCATGACTGCAGTAGCATGTTAGGCTACCTTACATCATTTTATCCAGCCATATTGTTCAGATTAATTCTGTATCACACTGCTCCCTGTGATGTTTAATACTTATAAGTTCCACTTTATGACCAAGTGAAGGAGATGTGCAGCTGAATTTAGATGCTTTGCTTATGTTTGTATGTCTTGTTTTTTTTTTCATATATCTATTTGATGACATACTCTTTCAAGCATGCCTACTATTTTTAATTTGTAGTGTTTGTAATTCTAGTGTTTGTAAGATTTCAGAGAGGTGGTTCTAGAGACAAGACTTTGGCCTGCAGATATTATTACCACCTTAGTCCTGCTTGTGTTTTAGACAATCATTTCATCTATGGAGCACTGAAAACATAAAAACTGAATCAGAAATGATAAAGTGGGCCATCTGTCGACTATTTCAAACAAATGATGCCATGGCAAAAATGCAGTTTTTAAATGTTAAAGTTTGTGCTTCTACACACAGTAACCACTGTGCTTTAAATGGATAAAACTAACCCAAAACCATGACCCATTCTCTGCTCTCTTGTCCATTAAATCGATATGAATCTTATGAGTACAAAACAAGTATAATCTACTTATATATGTAGGTCGTACCGAAAGTCATGAGCAACTTTTTTTTGCATGCAACCTGGAAACAGCAGACAAAAGAGAGTATGGTGGTAGGTGGAACCAGCTGTTGTGTTAACCTTGAGTGTCTTGTGATGTCAATAGCTTGCATCATGTGACCAGTATCACTCCCAACAAACTGGCCAAAAACCATATGTCGTTTTGCCCGCGTGCTGTCATCGAATTTCTTGTGAAAGAGGAAATCCCTGCTGCAGAAATTCACCAGAGACTTCAGCGTACTTATGGAAGTGTGTGCATGGGTGCGAGCAGTGTTCGAAGATGGGTGAAACATTTTAAAGATGGGAACACCAGCATCAAAGATGAGCCTCGGAGCGATCGTCCTTGAACAGCCTCAACTGAACGCAACAAGGAGACTGTGGATGAGCTCATTCAAGATGACAGGCGTGTGACTGTGGAGACAATAGCCTGAAAACTTGGAATAGGGCACAGTGCAGTACAGGAGATGATTGAAAGCTTGAGCTATAGGAAAGTTTGTGCTTGTTGGGTCCTGCGGTTATTGACTGAAGACCACAAAGGTCAGCGAAAAGCCATCACCTCAGAACTGCTGCAGAGATATCAACACTAAGGCGATGATGTTTTGCTCTGTAGTGTGACAGGTGACAAAAGCTGGTTTCACCATTTCAAGCCTGAAACGAAACAGCAGAGTATGGAATACCACCATTTGCATTCTCCACCAAAAAAGAAGCTGTGAAGGTGATGGGCACAGTCTTCTGGGATGCAGAAGGATTTATTCTGGCCGAATTCCTGGAACCTGGGTAAACCATCAATGCTGCTCATTATGTCCAGACCCCGCACAAGCTCCGTCGTGCATTGCGTGATAAACATCCGAGACAAGATATCATCATCCTGCATCACAACACTCACCCCCATGCCGCTCGCCTCACATTGGAAGCAATTGCAAAGATGGGGTGGGAAGTTCTTCCACACCCCTCCTATAGCCCTGATATGGCACCCTCAGACTACCATCTTTTCGCACTTGTGAAGGATCAGCTGCGTGGACAAAGTTTTGAGACAAGGGAGGCAATTCAGAAAGCAGTGCGTCAGTGTCTTCAGATGGCTGGAATGGAATTTTACAGAAGGGGAATTTTCAAACTCCCAGAACGTTGGGAGAAATGTGTACAAAGAAGTGGTGATTATGTGGAAAAATAAAGAAAGGTCTGTAGATTGAGGAGGTGTATTTGGTTTGTCAATAATAAAGCATGTTACTTTACAAAAAAATTTGCTCATGACTTTCAGTACGATCCTTGTATATTTCATAAGGACATTGGTATGTTTGATGCCATGGCATAGATGTAGAATTTTAGTTCAATTACCACTGTGCTTTAAATGGATAAAACTAACCCAAAAACATGACCCATTCTCTACTCTCTTGTCTATTAAATATACATGGATCTCATGACTACAAAACAAGTTTAACCTACTTATATATATTCCATAAGGACATTGGTATGTTTGATGCCATGGCACATATGTAGAATGTTAGTTCAAACATGTGACCAGATGAGATCCCACCTGGCAAGCTGAATTCCCACACCTGACGGCCAAATACTGATGTAATTACAAATATGAGAATGGCTACCTGAAAATCAAAGAAACACTGCATCAGAAAACTAAGAAATATCAGCAATGTAGGATTCTTAGTTAATTAAAATAAAAATATAGTTCCTGATGTTTCCCATATAATGTGAGTCCTACATTTTACAAGGTGATCCATTAGAACTGTACTCTAACAAAGAACATTTTTTACATCTCAGGCTACTGACTGTGGGCTGCATAAACTTGACCTTGTACAGAGAACTCCTTCTTGTTTATTTTGGAAAGCATAAAGCATATACACAGATATAGCGCCATGTTAGGTGCATCCCTTGTCACCAAGGCATGGCATATCCTCAGGTTGCAGATGGAGAATATGGCCTCCAGATATGGAAGGTAGCCACAAATATACTGAATAAGCAGTCATGGACAGTAGACGGGGGTGATCCTCCAGCTTGGGGGTTGGGCATGGGGCTACCAAATCCTCATCGTAAAAAATAAGCTTGTTACGAAAATTCTTAAGAAGCCTTAGATCTGGACGGATTCCTTGGATAAATGATCTAAGCAAAAGACAATGGATATGGATTTGGAATGTCAGAAGTATATATACGGCAGGTTCACTCAGGGCAGTGGCAGAAGAAATCTCAAAATATAGGTTAGGTTTAGTGGGAGTTCAGGAGGTTAGATGGGATGGAGACGGAACTGAACCACCAGGCAAATATACATTTTTCTATGGAAAGGAAAATGAGAATCATGAATTAGGCACAGGCATTTTCATACGTAAGAGAATCATATCAGCAGTTAAGGGTGTAGAGTTTGTTAGTGATAGGATGTTGTACATAACACTAAGATGTTACTGGTGTGATATCATTGTTCTGAATGTTCATGCCCCAAGATGATAAAATTGATGATGTGAAGGACAGATTCTACAAAGAACTAGAGTGTGTATTCAATAAATTCTGCAAATACCATATGAAAATTTTGTTGGGAGATTTTAATGTCAAAGTAGGTAGGGAAGACACGATACTGTTAAGAGGGAAGTATTGTATAATATTCTCATAGTTTGGGGTACCCATTAAAATAGTTAGGGTGATTACAATGTGTTTAAATGAAATGTACTGTAAAGTCCATACAAGCAAATAATTTGTCTGATAATTTTCCTGTCCAAAATGGTCTAAAACAAGGATATGCTTTATCACCACTGCTTTTCAACCTCGCTTTAGAATGCCATTCGGAAGGTCAGGAAAACCAGGTGGAGCTGAAATTAAACGGGACACATCAGTTGCTGTATATGTGGATGATGTGAACCTACCGGCTGATAACACAGATACCACAAAGAAAAACACAGAAACTTTAATTGATATTTGTAAGAAGGTTGGTCCAGAAGTAAACACAGAGAAAACTAAGTATATGTTGCTTGCTGTCTTGCCACCACAATGTAGGGCAAAAGACATAAAGATAGCTAACATGTTTTAAAATGTGGCACATTTCAAATATTTGGAAATGATAGTAACATATCAAAAATTGATTATGGAGGAAATTCAGAGACTTCATTTGGGTAATGCTTGCTACCATTCAGTCCAGAACCTTTTATCTTCTCATCTGCTGTCTAATAGCATAAAAATGAGAATATACAACTATAATTTTGCCAGTGGTTCTATATGGGTGTGAAACTTGCTCTCTGACATTAAGGGAGGAACACAAAATGAGGGGGTTTGAGAACAGGGTGCTGAGGAGAATATTTGGATCAAAGAGAGCTGAAGTGATGGGAGGCTGGAGAAGATTGCATAGTAAGGAGTTTTATAGCTTGTACTCTTCGCCAAGTATAATTAGGATGATCAAGTCAAGGAGGATGAGATGGGCAGGGCATGTAGGATGTTGATGGGAGAGCCATAAGGAAACAGACCACTAGGAAGAACAAGATGTAGGTGGGTGGTATGGACTGGACTGATCTGGCTCAGGACAGGGACCAGTGGAGGGCTCTTGTGAACATGGTGATGAACCTTCGGGTTCTGTAAATTGCTGAGAAATTCCTAAGTATGCATGTGTAAATGTTTATATTTTTCTTTGAAGTGTCACCCAAGAAAAATGAGTGGACAGCTTATGAAGAGTTCAATGTAAAGAATTTTTTTAAACTGATTACACTGGATGAAATGCCCATCGTAGCATGGTTGGTTGAGGCACTATGCTAAAAGCTGGAAGGTCACGGGATGGAATCCCAATGAGGTGGATTTTTTCAATTTACCTAATCCTTCCAGCCACACTTTGGCCCTGGGGTCGAATCAGTCTCTAACAGGAATGACCACCAGGAATATTCTTGGGGGTAAAGGGTGGCTGACACGTAATGCTGACAACTTTACCGCTATCTATGAGCTGTCTAGAAAACGTGGGAACCTCAACATCTCACAACCCTATGGACATCCGTGGCTTGTTACAGGGATATTATTATTTTTTTATACTGGATTAAATGAAATGGAAAGTACATTAGAAATGTATGATATGCTAATGTTAGTATTACAAAAATCAAAACAGGTAAATCACCCAATCCCATTTTTTAATTGAAACTTCACTTCTGTAAGTGACAAATTAATTTGTACAAATATGTAGATGAGTTAATAAGTAAGTTACAAATTGATGTGGGGTACTACATGTTTGAATGAGGCACTTGAGGCTATCACCACTAGATCGCAGCATTAGTCCAGTGGCAATTGATGACATTCGACATGAGACAATTGATGTTTACAAAAGTGAAACAGCAGTTGCAAGATGGCGGCGCCTGTGAGTGAGTTTACAACCCTCATGCAGTGCTCTGTTGTGTGATTTTTGTGGGAAAAAGGTATGGAATCAAAGAATATTCATAAAGAAATGCTTTCTATCTATGGTGAGAAGTGCCTGTCACGTAAAGCTGTTTACAATTGGGTGCAGAAGTTCTATGAAGGGCGGACACTTACCAAAGACGAACACCGCATTGGCCGGCCAACGAACATTGCCACAGAGGCGAATGTGTAGCGGGTTGAAGACTTAATCCGAGCAGACATAAGGGTAACTATAGATGCTATAGCCACTGCTACTGGTTGTTCACATGGCATGGTCTACCTCATAACTGGTTAGGTTTTCACAAAGTGTGGGTGCTGCGCATGCTGACCTCACAACACAAAATGCAAAGAATGGGTCTGGCATTACAGCATCTCAATCACTACCACGATGAAGGACATGATATGCCAGTCCCGAATTGTCATAGGTGATGAGTCTTGGGTTCACCATTACCAGCCCAAGACAAAGCTTGCATCAATGCAGTTGAAACATCCTGCGTCGCCTGCCAAAAAAAGTTTAAGGTGACACCATCCTCCAGGAAAGTGATGCTCGCAGTCTTCTGGGATCATGAAGGCATACTGCTCACCGAATTCCAGTCTCAATGACAAACCATAAATGCAGACTCCTACTCTAACATCCTCAGGAAACTTCGTAACGCTGTTCAACAGAAGTGACCAGGACTCCTCACCTCATGCTCTTGCATGACAACGTGCATCCCCATACTGCCAGCAAGACAAATGAGACGCTGCAAAATTTCAAGTGGGAAGTCCTCAAGCATCCTCCGTATAGCCCTGACCTTGCTCAAAGTGACTTCCATTTGTTTGGCTCTCTTAAACATCATCTTCTGTCTGAACATTTTCCCGACGATGAAGCTGTAGAAAGGGAAGTCACCGACTGGTTCCGACAGCAGCCCAAAGAATTTTATGCTGCTGGTTTTCACGGGCTTGTGAAAAGATGGGACAAGTGCCTCAATGTACAGGGAGATTATGTTGAGAAATAAAAGCATTTTTCAGATCAGTACTCTTATTTGATATAAGTTCTACATCCATTTGTAACTTGCTCATTGACCTACCCTGGTACTTATTAAAGAGACACTTTGGTATAGGAAAATATAAAAATCCTGCCATCTGTTTTTCCCAACACAAATTACTGGAAGAGATGTCAAAGAACATAAAGACCGAAAAGCCATATAGCTTTCACCATGTGACCATAATGTGGCGGTATATTGTAAAGCTGTTGGCACATGGCTTCCCACCGGGTATCTGTATGGGAGAAATTATGAAGTCTGAAGTCTTCAGACTGATATGAAAGTGTTAAATCGAACATGAGGCGATATTAAGTTAATGTTTGTACATGCAAAATAAAGCAGGAAAATTAACTCCTGAACACATCATTGCAATATAATGAAAGACACTGGCTACATGAATTCACTGATAGTTCCTGCAACATATACGAGGCGGCAAGCAAGTAATGACACTGAAACAAAATAAAAATATGCAGCAAGAGTATTATCCTGCATGAGACCATTACAGATGCACTGATGTGACCTTGGCAGTCTGGCTAACCAAAATCAATTAGGACTATACAGTTTATGTCACACTCTTTGCGTGATGAGGAAAAACTCAGATGGCTGGATGCCTACAAAGATTTTTTGCAAACAGATATTGGTGATCCTGGTTCTCTAAACACCATCATTAATGGGGATGTTGAGAATTGTGGACTCAGCGACGCTAACACAGGCGCATGGCCAGCGGTGACATACCAGCAGAGCAGCTGTGTTAGGCAACCATTCCCTGTGGAAATGCAAGAGCATAGGAACTGCTGCCACTGCTATGGTCACAGGCCAGTAAACACTATGGCCCCCCCGTGACGTAACAGAGGACGCTGTTGTTGCTAAGTGGCAATGAGAAACAGTATAAGTAGCAGCCAGTGTGAGGTGAGTGCCAGGGCCAGTGTGCAGTGGGTGCCAGTAGAGGCCAGACAGAAGACAGTGGAAGCCAGCACGGAGAGTTCTACAGTATATCGAGAGTTGTTAATATGGAAGAAGTGACTAGTTCAACATTTGGTGTTACAGTTACGGTGTTGAGTAATAAAGTGACGTCACAAGAATACACCCCTCGAGGTCTTGTTTCACGACAGGAGATGAGTCATGGTGCTTCCAACATGATCCTGGGACCAAAAGACAAAAGTGTAGAATGTCAAACATACAATACACCAAGCGCAAAATATCATGCATCAAAATCATGCTGATTACACTCTTAGATTCCAAACAGATAATTCAAAAAGAATTTGTGCCAGAAGGAAGGACTGCCAATAGCGAGTACTACCAAGGATTACTGGAACATCTGTAGATCAGAATCAAGTGTGTGAGGCCAGCTTTTGCACAACAATATGCCTGTCCACACAGTAATCGATATAAGGTCATTTCTGGTCACAAAATGAATCACGGAAACTTCGTTTGAAAAGTGGCCAGTTTGATATCATCAGTGGCATTCAGATGAATACAACATGGCAGAACTAAATGCCAATATGGCAGACAAGTTTTCAAGTTCTTTGAAAGTTTATACAAACCCTGTAATAAATGTATTCCATCTGTTTGGGGCCATTTTGAGGAATACAAATAAAAAATATGTTGCCTTATGCATCACTGTTTTTATATTGTTTCAGTCTCATAAATTTTTTGCTGCACTATATATACTGTGCCAACGGGATGACAGACAAATGTGTTAGGTAATTATGCGTAAGTTAATCAGCAGTGATAAAATATAAACAGAAGTTCCAACTTACCACCATTGAGGCATCATAACCCCATGGCAAGAACAGTACACCTGTAATGTGTTTCTCCCAGTGAGAGAGATAAAAATTAACAAATATATTCCACAGACAGAAGTACATTCGGAGCGGAGGTATACCATTCATGCTACGACCAAACACAGAGTACATGCATGTTGGAATTAGGAATGCTGTCCATGAATCGAGTCCATGGTCAAACAGTTCACCCAGGGGACCAGTAGTCTGGGTCCGTCGAGCCTGCTTTCCATCAATACCATCTGCAATGCATTCAAAGACAAAAGTCAAACACAATAAGTAAACTCTAAATAACCAAAGCTAAGGGAGGAGAAAGAGAATGCAAATAATCAAGGGACATGAGATCTGATGTTAGTCAGTCATTGTTGTGGTACCAACTAAGATTTTGCATATGTGAACATTCCTTCCATGCATAAAGGCTGGGTTACTGGATTAAAATTTGGGGCATGTGGCAGCATAGTTGGTTGAGGCACTGTGCTACAAACTGGAAGGTTCAAATCAAATCGGGATCAAATCCCGATGAGGTGGATTTTTTCAATTTATCTGTTCCTTCCAGCTGTACTATAGCCCTGGGGTCGACTCAGCCTCTAACAGAAATGAGTACCAGGAACATTCCTGGGGATAAAGGGCAGCCTGCACGTAAGGTTGACAACCTCACCAGCATCTATGAGCAGACTGTCTAGAGAAAACATGGGAGCCTTGAGGTCTCACAACCCTAGGGGCCTCCACGGCCTCTTACAGGGATAGCTTTCCCTTTTTACCTTTTTTTTATTTCTCCTGGAAGTTTTAGCTAGTTGATACCATGAAAATGACAAGGAAAGCAACCGTATTCAATGGGAACTTAATAAATATCCATGCTATCTAGTTTAACTACAGTACGGTGCTACGATGTTTGATCTAGCTTGGCCATTTTCAAGAAGCTGTCTAACGTAATAAAAGGAAATTACTGCACACAGTTTTACACCATTCACAAATCTCAGAGCTTTGTCCAGAATTAGTTTGTTAAAGAAGTAGTAAGATGGGATAAAACACAAGTACAGAGAATGGATTTGATTATCAGATAAACAAGAAGCGGTTAAAGTAGCAGCCTGATACATATTGTTTTGAAGTAAAGAAGAATGCAAACTGGGTTACTTTAGACTAACAGAGAAGAACAGTTTTACATTTTCTTGCAGATAATGTAAGTCTCCAAGCATAACATAAAGAAATAACTAATTCCTATTAAATTATGATTTTTATGTTTATTATTAATTAACAGTATCACATGATTAGTGTTTCTCTTAATGAAACTGATGAACCTAAACTTCTAGTGAGGGACTGATTTGTCCCATAGCCTATCTGGTTGTAGGTGTACAGTACAGTTAAGTATGAGTAGACATAGGATTTGGAATGAATACTGAAGTTACTGAATGCTTATATCTGTAACTGCATATGATTATAACAAAATCACTAATCCAAAATCTCTGCAAATCACTACAGAACACGCTAAGCCATCTCAGTTCGCTCTGTCTTCACCAGTCACTGTTTGGTAGTAGCTTCTAACAATGGAGATTCCTCTGCTTCTGTGTTCATGGCCAGCCAAAACCTGCAACTGTTGACAACTCACAACTAATGGCAAGACTTTTTCACTTATGGTCCTAGGTACAGTTTGCATAGAAAACACCGCTTCCCACAGCATGTGTATTGTTATATGCATATCCAGTGCCATGGGAATGTTTTCTGAGTCACTGTCTAGCAATGGTGGCCTCTTCTGTCTCCGATATTCTGCCTTTCAGAAACCGTATCCCAATATTGTAAATGTAGGTTGACTGATGGTGTCCTTGTGGATCTGTAATTCTTTCTTTGTTACGTTCGTAATGCATGCATATTGCTTCAAGACCCCCCCCCAAAGGTTATATTATAATTATGTCCTAATTTTTGTTCATCTGTTACAACACTCGCAGCTAAGAAGGGAACACACATCACAAGACATGGTTTATGCAGAATATAAGAAAAATGACCCCCATAGTGGAAGAACCACACACAAGTTTTAATTATGACACATAGGATGAATAATCTTAACAAGTTTTAGTGTGTGTATATTCACTATAGTTGACAAATACGCACTTTTAAAATACTTTTTAAATAATTTTATAAAGGCAAGCAATGAAATAGATTAGCGTAATTTGGGCACCTGATGATGGCACTATGTTCCCGAAACATGTCGTGAAGTAACAGGTGAAATTGAGTGCACTACAAGACGGCAACTGTATACATATCATGGATGAAAATCAGTGCAACAGGACGCTAAAATACAACATCTGTTAGGAAATTATTTTCTTATATTGATATATACATGTTTCCTTTCATGTCCATGACATGACTCTTTCTGCTATAATAATAAACCTTCTTCATGGTACCTTATATTTCTGTGCAGTGGTGAATATTATTCAGAATGAGCTTTGCTTGCTGTTTCATGCCGGTTTCTTGCTTGGCTTATTCTCTGACCCTCAAGACGGAGGCAACATGTTCCTCTGAAACGTTATGTGCCTTTGAACAGACTACACAGTGTTATATCCAACATGAGAGAACTTTTAATAACCACTGCTGTTGAGAATCTCAAACCCTACATACCACATACAAGCTTCACTTTAGAAGCAACTTTATTTAAAGGTCTAAATGATAGATCTTTCTCAGATTTTCACCAAATTTTGACCCACTGAAGCAAGGAATTCATCTAAATAATATTTACAAATTCAGTTCCTACGTCATGCTGTCTCCATTAGAAACTGGTTAAGAGTTCTATAGGAAAATAATCACTGTTTATTCATATAAAACATAAATGCACACTGTGCACAAAATGCAGTTTTCAAATATTAAAGTAGGTGGAACAAAGAGTATACCCTGTGCTTCAAAGGAAGACCACTTTATTTAAGAGTATAAACTGGTTATCTCTTCGGTTCCTTGTCAGATTTTAATAAAGATCCATTTATGACACATCTATTGTACACATATCACCATGTGGCTATCATTAAATTCAGAACCCACATTGCCTACAGTCGATTAACTCCACTTCTTCTTAGACACATGGTCCACCAGTCTATCCAGCTGCTTTACAATGTCTCTGCAACAGTTGAAAGTTTGTGTCTAGATTGCACTAGTACAATGCGTTCAATGGTTGAGGAAACCTGACAACATGGAGGAGCAGGAACAACGTTCCTCACAGATTGCTGCCGTAACTGTCGATAGCAGAACTGAGTCATTAGCGCTGATAAACGAGCATCATCAGGTGGCCTGATTTTGTGACTGCAGTAAGTCACATTAATAGTCAGCCTTTGTTAGTGGTGTTGATAGGCGGTCGACAATTATACTGATATGAAGTTTACTACTGAACAGCATGTTTATTGTTGAAACTTTTGCCAGGAACACTTACAGAAAATGTAACCGTAAGTTTCATCATAAATATCCTGGCTCGTCAGTTCGCAAGACAATGCTAGAGCACATGTGGCTAATGCAACCATGGTCGCAATATGGGAAGTGTTTGAAGAGTGAATACTGAGTAGGGGACTGTGGCCTCCCAGATCTCAGTTTTTGTGATTTTTATCTTTGGGGAAACCTGAAGGGAAAAGTCTACAAGTATAATCCTTGCAACACTGAAGCTCTGCAGCATGAAATAACATGTCACTTTTTCACAAGCTTGGATACAAACAGATTTGTGGGAACCGGTCATTTTGCTGGTACTTGGTCAACCTGAACATTTGTCATCTTCAACTGACACTCGAGAGGCCTTGAACCGTGAATGCCACTCAAAAACCACTCTCTGGCTTAAAGAATGTTCTCAATTTACAGAGCTTCACCCAAAACTTGATGCAGACACATTACTTGATTTTGCCAACCGTCACAGACAAAACAACACACAAAGTCGAAAAAGCACTTGTGTAAAACAATGTGTGTACAAAGCATGGTGTCACATAGCAGGTTGATGCAATAGGCTTGTGGAAGTGTGGCCCTGGCCTCCCTTCTCATCTTCTTTCACTGAGGCAGTTACAACAATAACTGTCCGGGAACTTAACGATACCATACATTTTTCTTTTCTATATTAGGATATGCTGCATAGTTTACTTGCAACATTTCATCATACAAATAGCAAGTTGAGTCTGGATTCTTGTTTCTGATGCAATAACCAGGACTGTACTCCCCAAGGCAGGACTTCCACGATCCCTCTACTCATAACTTTCCTCATCCACATACCATCAAAGTGGCTGTGAAGGGATTAGTCAGAAGCGTATTCACATGTAGCTGCTAGCAACATAATACTATTCAACTGATAATGGACTTCATTTATTTATTTTCAAAGTCTCCTTCAGGTTCACTACGCTTCTTCATTTGGAGTGGTGATTAATCTGTGGTTAAGCTTATTTAGCTTTTAGTAGTGATGCCAAGAGTGTAAGTCAGAAAACTAAATTACAGCTATACAATTCTTTATCGGAATCCGTCGTAACACAACAACATAACAGTCAAGGTCAACATTAGCTTAGCTACATGTTTCGGCATTTAAAGCCATCATCAGGCAAAATACCTGGTTACCACATTCACATACTATTGAACTGCATTTCATTGTGACAGTAGAACTGGATAATTGACAACTATGTTACACTATTAAATACAAGGTATAAAAATACAATGAATTATAAAATTATTATAAAACGAAACTTATGTAAAAAAATATGGTTAAAAACTCTTCATGTAATATTTCATATTGTGACATGTTGCGCAACGTGTCACACTGCTCCCTCCTTAAGGCTGTTCATCCCATATAGCCTAACGGTGCATCCCTGTTAATTTTCTTTGGAGGCTGTTCTTGCAGCATCTCATGTTTCGGCTACTTCTCGCAGCGACTATCATCCGGCCGTTACAACAGCTCCCCTCTCAAGACCTGCTCGTCTCGAGCGGTTTCCTAGACACTAGGAAGTGTCTACCGCACTTCCTAGTGCTATTGACCTCAAGTTTCCTGGATTCACTGGCCGTTCCCCCCCCCCCTTAGCACACAACACCATATATGGCCTTAATCGCTGTCCACTGCTCCTATTGGTCCGTTCTCCCTAACCACCCCCCTGCCTACCTCGTATATAAGCAGCGCCTTTCACTTCCTATCACTACAGCTACTGCTCTCTGCATTCCAAGCCATTCAACTGCTCTGAAGACGGAGGCGATACGTTCCTCCGAAACGTCGGCCAAAACGAAGAATACACGGCGCCTAAGC